TTTTCTTTTAGCAAAAGATTCTTAATGATTGGTGGAAAGCGAGTAATACATAAATTCCCTTCTTTCTTACTTGCTTTATTTCCGCTACCTCCTTTATAACTTAACTATACTACAATGAAGGTGCTTTGCTCTGTTCTTTATTGTTGTGGCGAGTATTACAGTAACTACTGTAGTATGCATATTTATTTCAAATTCATTTCATAGTGTTTGCTTTTTAGCTTTTGAATTAATTTTGCAATGACTTGACATTATGAAAGAGTGTAACTATTTAAAGGTACTGTGTTAATAAAGTGGATAGTGCAGGTATAGTGCATTTCATTCCCTTTGAAGAATGAAAACCTTCATATAGAAGAATCTTCTGGGTGCAGGGGGAAACAGATAAGCATAAACACTGCACTCTTCATATCCTTTAAGGATGGAAAAATAAATACCCAGGAAAAAATATTAGTCAACCTAATGTGTTTTCTTTGGTTATTGAATTGTAATCATGTTCCAAAATTGCAAGGGAATGAACAGTGTATTCTGAGAGTTTAGAAGAATCTGCTTTACCTTGGTATGATATATATATCCAGCTATCCATAATATACATATGTAGGGGTCTTCTGTTTGAGGTGATTTTCAGTATGTTTTTTTAAAGCAGTTTAATATAAGTAGTTCCTAGAGATGTCATGAATACATCATCATTTAGTTTGCAGAGCTAGTACCTTTTAATATTTTTAGAAATATCTTAATTTGGATTGTAATTTTTCAATGTAGAGCAGTGTATAAAACAATTTCTCAAGGTGGCAAGCAATTGATATTAAAACTCCATCTTTCATTCTGAGAGGTTGATGCAATAGTTAAAATACAACAGATACATTTTTATTTGCAGAAAAGGTCAAGGATAGGGAAGGAACTGAAGTATGGCAAATAAAACTACTTAGTAATATAATGGGAAAGAAGAGTTATCCATTTCAGGTATGAAAGAAAATGTCTCTAGTCTTAATATTTTAATTTTATTTTTGGTGATTGGGTTATCTTGGGGATTTTTTGAAAGTGATGGGGGTTATATACTTCTACAAACAAGTGTAAATTTAATAAAATTAAAGTACACATCCTATTTGGCTTCTTTATCCTTTACCAGAGTAACTGCGTCCTTATTTTCCTATATATTCTGACTCAAGTTACAGCTGAGAGAATCATGCCCTTAATTATTGCCTTTTTAATTTTTAATTTATTGTTTATATTGTATTGTAACCCTTGCCGTTACTTTATTATTTTCATTCCTTGATTACATGTGAGAAACTTATGTAAAGTATTGTAAATTATAGGTTCAATGTTTTGAAATTTCATGTATAACTAATAATAATGATTCATGTTATCATGTGATACATACACTTAGATCTTCAAGGAAAGATTTATACTTCATCATTTCTCCTGCATGCCCTTCATCAAAAGTGTGCAAGACACCACAAGTGGAATCTTCTTAAACTATTGGATAACATGGCATATAAATCATGAGAATTTGACCAAGTGAACATATCTTGAAGTTTGCCTCCTGTTCATAGGTTCCTATGAAAGTAGGGCTTAAAGGGAGCTTACAAGGTCAGAGTCCAGGTCCCTGATCAAGGCAGGGTCATCCCTGATTTAAACCACCACAGCAAAGTGTCTATCTAACCTGTTCTTGAAAACTACCGAGAGAGAGATTTTGCCATTTCTTTTAGGTAGTCTGTTCAAATGCTTGACCACCCTCGTTATTCCTAATCGCCAGCTGCGTCTCAAATTTCCCCTACTGAAGGTTGAGGCTGTTGTTTCTAGTCCTGTCTCTGTGGTCACAGAGAAAAGCCCATTTTCATCTACCCTGTAATCATCCTTCAGGCATCCGCCTAAGGAAATGGGTGTTTGAAGACCATGACATCGGATCCAAAACCAAGCTCAGGGTTTATCAAGCAGAAAATAAGGTTGGTCAGGCACAACTTGCTCTTGGTGAATCCATGCTGGCTCTTCCTGATAACCTTGTTTTCCTCTTGGTGCTTCACAATACATTCATTGAGGACCTTTCCCAGTATTGAGGTCAGGCTGACTGGTCTGCAATTTTCTACATCCTCCTTCTTCCCTTTTTTTTTTAAGATGGCCCTAAATTTTCCCTTTTCCAGTCAAATGGAACCTCATCTGACCTCAATGGGTTCTCAAAGAGGATAGCCAGTGGCTCTGAAGTTACCTTAGCCAGTTCCTTCAGTACCCTAGAGTGCATTCTATTCACTCCTACTGACTCGAAAGCATCTAACTTCTCTAAGTAATCTCTTAACCTGTTCTTGTTTTACTCCAGGCTGTTTGTCTCCTTCTAGGCTGTTCTCTCCTGCTGCAGCTGCATTCATCTGGTAGCTGGCCCTCTTTTTGAAAAGTGAAGTAAAAAAGACATTTAAATACTTCAGCCTTCTCTGCATCATCTGCAACTAGATTACCTTCTGTAGTCTATAAGGAACCCAAGGTTCCTCTGTCTTCCTCCTCTCTTGGCATACTTGTAGTATCCCTTTTTATTGCCTTTTATATCCTTTGCCAGGTGCATCACATTGTGCCTTGACTTTCCTAACTTTCTCCTTGCATGCCCTTGTGTTTGGCATCCTTTTATCTGTGAGACACGGTGGGTGTTGCAGCCTATGATGTAGATGGTTTGTAGTGTCCCGTGAGTGAATTGTCCCATCCGAGATTTACTTGATCTGTGGCAGTGGTTGCAAGTGTTTGCATCATGGTTGGGTGGTTCAGGAGCTGCTTGCTTCCTATGGACTTGTTTCTCTTTAAGCTGTTGGAGCCAATTCCTATAGACTTTGATGCCCTGGTGGAGATGATGACGCCACTTGTTCTGAGCACTAGCCAAGATTTCCATTGGTCAGGATCAATTCCAAATGCCTTCATATCTCGCTTGCATATGTCTTTGTAGCAAAGCTTGGGAAATCCTGTTGATCTTGTTCCCTCCAATAGTTCCCTGTATAGCATGCCCTTGGGTATATGTCCATCTTCCAATCTGCTCAGATGGCTTAGCCAGCACAATCTATGTTTTCCCACCATACATGAGTACTGAGTACACAAGCTTTGTGCATTAACATTTTGGTCTTGATGGTAAGCTTTGAGTTGTTCCATGCTCTTTTAGTTCGTCTGCTGAAAGTAATGGGAGCCTCTCTGACGTGAACATTAAATTAAGTTCATCATCCAGTGAGAGGTTGGTGGTCACTGTAAAACGGGCTGGCAAAATACGGTCCACAGGCCAGATCTGGCCCACCAGGCACTTTCATCTGACCTGCAAACATCTGCCAACTAATTGTACCCTGCCCAGCCCTTCCGCCCAGGGGGTGGGAGCAAGGCATCCATGTACACACACCCCTGCCAACATACCATAATGTGCCTCGCTCCCACCCTTGTGGGCAGAAGGGCCCCGCCCGGCTAGCATGCAGCTTCTGGACAGAGCTACTGCTGTAGCTGCCAAAGGACCTGCGCAGCTTCCCTGGCATCCTACTTGCTCCGGGCAGCAGGTAGAGAGTGGTGGGGGCTGAGGGGAGCTGCAGCTGAGTAGGAGTGTAGGGCTGGTGGCAGTGCAGAGCCTACACCCGGGGGTGGGGAGGGGGAGTGCAGAGCTTGGATGGGCATGGTGTAAGTGTGAGGGATTGTGGGGGCATGTGGGGACGCCTCACACTGTCCCCCCATGGCATGCACAGCCCCCGTTGGCAGCAAAAGGCGCACCAGCAGGCAGTAGGTGCTCGTGTTGGTGCAGGCACTGCTGCCCAACTGCACGCAGCTCTGGTCAGTGCTGCACATGGGGCAAGGAGTGCAGCCCTGCCAGGCTGCCTCAATCATACGGCACTCCCTGTGTGCACGTGCAACTCTTACACTCACATGCCACGGGAGGGAAGCACCACGCGCGTAAGCCCACTGCCTTCCCTGCCCCCTGCCATAGCTCCCGAGACTCTTGGGGGGGAAGCAGGGGAAGGGGCTCCCCTCCACTTCCAGCAGAATATAGGAACCTGTGGCAGGGGGCAGGAAAGGCAGTGGGCTCCAGCGCATGGGGCGTCCCTCCCATGGTATGCATGTTCAAGAGCTGCACATACAGGCAGGGAGAGTTCTGTGCAATAGAGACAGCCCAGCCAGGCTACATTTCTCACCCCCGCGTACAGCACTGGCCGGAGCCATGCACTGCTGAGCGGCAGCACCTGCACTGGGCAGCACCTGCATTGGGCACTCACTGCCTGCTGGTGCTCCTGGTGCTGCCAACAGGGCCTGTGTGTGCTATGGGGGGAGGGTGTGGGGTGTCCCCACATTCTCTGCCATGATCCCTCACACCCCACAAATGTCACACACCCACACCCTGCCCTCACAGCCCCTCCACATATACACCCCTCAACATACCCTATTCCCCCCCCCCCACCATACACACCCCACACAATATATATGACCAAGACTTTATTTTTGAGTTATTGTGCGATCTTCTCTATATATACTATGTAAATACAAATCATGACAATAATATAGTAGGTGTTTGACATTTAGTGTGTGATTTGTTTTTGTTTTTTTCTGGTTCCAAGATGGCAACCCTCCCCTCCCAAAAGGAGTATTTCTGGGGGGTAAGGGGAGGGACTTCCAGTGGCAAAGGTCAGGGGTTGGGAGGTGGGACATCAGGTCCCAAGATGGTGACCAGGGGGGTGAGGTAACTGTCAAGGGTTGGGGCTACCCATGCAGCCCTCGACAGCTCACCAAAACACATTAAGCTGCCCTCCAGCTAAAATAATTGCTTGCCCCTGCTGTAGAACCTAGGTAGCTGAGATTTTGGACTGCTTCTAGCTGGTTCTCAAGAAGAGTGATTGATGGACCTTGTCGAACTCCCTGTCCTAGTACAACTGTTTTCTTTATGCTGATGGTGAGAGCAAATGCCTGACAAGCTCTTGAGAGCAGATCCATGAGTTCTTTGTCCTGGTTCTAAGGACAGCATCATAGACGAATAGAAGGTCCCTGATAAGCACCTTTCTAACCGTTAGTCCTTGCTTTGAGTTGTGACAGGTTGGAGAGTTTCCTATCCAATCTTGTCTGAAGGTACACTCCACCTTCCATGTCTTTAAACGCGCAGTGCCGGAGTACTGAGAAGATTCCAAAGAGCATAGGGGCAAGAACACATCCTTGCTTTACTCTGCTTTTAACCTCAAAGCTGTCAGAAGACCCATCAAACTGAACAGTTGCTTTCATGTTGTCGTGGAATGAACGTATAAGACTTAACAGGATTGGTGGGCATCCTATCATTTCTAGGACTGCAAATACGCCTGCTCTGCTGATGGTCAGTCAAATGCTTTGGTTAGATCCACAAAGGCGATGTACATTGGTCGATTTTGCTCTCTGCACTTTTCTTCAAGTTGCTGCAGGGAAAATATCATGTGTGTGGTTGATCTTCCAGCCCTGAATCCACACTGAGATTCAGCGTACACGTGACTTGCCAGCTGTTGTAGGCACACCAAGATGACCCTTGCTTTTCCTGCTATACTTAGTAGCAAGATACGTGTGTAGTTCTTGCAGTCTCCCTTATCTCCTCTATTTTTATACAGAGTAATGAAGTTTGTTTCACACACGTCTTGTGGTACCTCACCCTCTTTCCAGCATTTAAGTAGTAGCTGATGAAGATATGGTAGTAGGCTTTCTTTCCCACACTTGAGAATTTCTGCTGGGATACCATCTTTTTCAGGAGCCTTGCCACTTGATAATGAATCAATGGCCTTGCTTAGCTTTTCTACAGTGGGCTCCATATCTAACTCTGGCCTGACCTGTAGAGTTGGTATTTGGTCCCATTATTTGCTGATGATGTTTCTTTCTTGTGAGTGTAGATCTGAGTAGTGTTCAACCCAATGAGACATTTGCTTGTTTCTGTCTGTAATGGCTTCACCAATATGCTCTTGTGATATTGTTGTATTCTTGCCTAGTGCTATGATTGAGTTTTGACTTTTTATAGGATTCCTTTTTGAGTTTCAACTCATTGAAGCGATTGCTGTGTAGACAGGCTGGGCTTCTGTTGCACTTCCCATTCTTCTGTTTCATTGGCATATCTTACTTCTGTGCTCTTAAAAGGGCCTCCTTAATGTACAGTCAGCTTTCCTGTACCCATTTTCCCCTCTCAGACTTGCCTCCCAGAGTATCCTGTTTACCAGTTCCCTAAGCCTACTAAAATCTGTTTTCCTGAAGTCCAGTGTCCTTATTCTGCTGCTCTCCTCCCTTCCTCCACTTAGGATCTTGGACTCTGTCATTTCATGTTCACTGTCACACAAGTTAACTTCCACCTTCACATTCTCAACCAATTCCTTCTTGTCTGTGAGCAGTAAGTCAAGACCTTCCCCTCTGTAGTTGGCCTTTCTACTATATGTATCAAAAATGTTATCCCCAGTATACTCAAGAATTTGCTGGTCTGCTTGTGCACTGCTGTGTTTACCTCCCAGCAGATGGCCTAATAACTAAAGCTCCCCATAAGAATCAGCCAGGTCATGAGGCGCTACAGGGATTTGGGAGCGGGGCTAAAGGGTCTGGGGGCACAGGTGGTGTTCTCGTCGATCCTCCCAGTCTCAGGCTATGGGCTGAGGAGGGAGAGGAGGATCCACATGGTCAACCAAAGACTGTAGCGCTGATGTCGTCGGGAAGGCTTTGGCTTTCATGACCACAGCCCGCTGTTTGGCGCGCGAGGCAGCGAGCTGCTGGGAAGAGATGGCCTCCTCCTCTCTCCTCTAGGGAGGAGGCTCTTCTCAGCCAGACTGGCTGACCTGCTCCACCGGGCTTTAAACTAAGCCCGTTGGGGGACGGGGGGACTACCGCCAC